CAATCAACTCTTCACACTCCACCGGATACAATCTTCAGGCAGTCTCCATCAGACGCAGGCAAAAGTCCTTGAATACGGAATGTTGTTATGACTAACTTTCTACCACCCCAACAACAACCCCCTCCCAACTTCCCCAGCTAAAGTATGTGACAGTTAAGAAGCAAAAAAGAAAATTGTCTTCCAAACCTGACAATATAGACTAGCTGCAATTACTTCAGGATAGATTATCCTGAACAGACTAGTTTGCTTACTTCCAGAGTTTTCTTCCAAATTAAAAACAAATGAAACAATTATTTGAAGAAATATTTTGTCACATTCTAACAAGACCATAACCAAAGTTGATGACTGATTCTTCTCCACTAGAATTGTGGATCATTACAACTAGGTACTAGGATTTAATAAAATAATATCCATGGAGGTAATTTTAAACCTCACTTTTGATTATTTATAGTATTTTAAAATTATTGGTTTTAATTTTCCTTCCTTTAAAAGTTAACTAGCTCTTTAGATAAAAGTATTGCTTTTCTTAATGTCATTTTTTTAAAAAATGAAAGCATAAAGTCTTTGTTTATTTGTTATTTATGATGAATCCAGGATGGTCAGTTTCCATGATGCCGGTTTTATCTTGTCTCTAACAGGCCATACTTTATGCAGTCTTATCCTGTTGTGTTTTGATACCACAAAACAACCAGTCAAGAAAATAGTGAAAAGTGAAGTTTCTGGGGAAAATGTATACTGTAAATATTAGCAACTATACATTACCTCAGTAGTAGCTGATATTTGCTACAGATGTCTAATTAATAAAAGTGCATATATACGTTTGTCAATATTCATCTCTGAAGCTGTTTGAATATTTCACCTTTCTAAATATTTTTTAGAAATATTCTAAGGTTTATCTGGAAATAACATTAACTTTAAGACTAAGAATTGACTTTACATGTGGGTAATTGACATGCAACTGGTAATCATGAGACATGGCTCACAATTATAACAATGTGGCAAGCCATGTTCTCATGATTACCAGTTGCAGCCATTCCTGTCAGTTTCCCACAAGCAAAGTCTTTGGAGAAGCTGGCAAGGAAAGTCGCAAATTGCTCCAGTAAGTTACTCCCAGTGCTTTTTCTCCCAAGGACCCCATTATGGAGCACAAGATCTCACAAATTTCATACTCCATAGCATCTCCCACCCCTCATTCACCCTACAGCATGCCCACCTGTAGCAACCCCTGGTGCCCTCACTGGCTTACCCATATCCCTGCAGCACTTACTCAAGGTGTCTCCTGGTCATCCCGTGGCCTAGCCAACATACCATGTTTTGAAGCACCTGCCCATCCATCCATTCCTAGACCATTCCACCTCCCATGCTCCTTCCCTGGGACTTCCACCTCTTCCTGTACAATGACTCAAATAGTCCTGGGGGTGACAACAGCAACTGGGACTGCCAGGATTGCTGTAGCTAAGTAATGTGGTCATGTGATGTGACATTTTTAACTGAATCACTTGGTTACAGTAATCCTAGCCCAAATTGCTATCATTACCTGAGGACTATGTGGTATAGAAAAGACTTTAAAGTGTCTGAATCAACAGCACACCATGCTATAAATGTGATAGAACTGAGTTATGAGCCACATCATTTGTTTCATGAATGACAAAGACAAAATAAATAAATATTATAAATTCACCCTAGTAGACTAAGCTAGTGAGATACAATATTTATTTCCATCCTTAATACATTAGACTGTTTATGCTGCTGAATCTTTATAAAGCGGGGTTTTTAAAGTAACTTATTGATGTGACTTTAACATCTTGGAGATGTTAAGAAGTGTATATTCATAAAGGAAGTAAAGGAGAAATAAGATTCAAGGACTTATCTCTTGGCTTGGCCAGGGAAATACAAACTGGAGGCAGGAAGAATGTAAGTTTGTCCAATCAGAAAATAGACATCCATAGATATTATCAGAATGCAGGATCAACAGTAGTTGAAGTGAGAAGGGGAATTTTAAAACAATAATGAATAATTCCAAGGAAGTAGAGTATTTAAGAATTCACCATGTATTACTGCTGCTTTGCGGCCAGAATGATGCAAATAATCCAGCAGCAGATGCAAAGTTTAATTAAATTTGCAAGAGTAGAATTCAATCATAAATGGCTGTAGGTATTTGGACCTTCCTGAGAAAAGGTTCTTCCATTTCTGCTTCTGGATGGGGTGGCAATATCCTAGGTGTGCAATATCCTAGGTTCCTCCTAGACTCACAGCTCCTGCTTGAAGAACAGTTGGCAACTGTGGCTAGGAGAGCCTTTGCACACCTTTGGGTAGTGTGCTAATTGCATCCATTCCTAGACCAGCAGGCCCTGCTCACTGTCACTCATACCCTTGTAACATCTCTCTTGGATTATTGTAACAAGCTCTACGTGGGGCTGGCCTTGAAGAGCATTCAGAAAATTCAACTGGGATAAAATGTGGCTACACAGGTAATAAATTGTGCCACCTACACAGCACAGGTAATACCACTACTCTGCATTGGCTGCCAGTGTGTTTCCAGGTGCAATTCAAGGTATCAATTCAAGGACTAACTTTTTCCAACAGTTTCCACATGTCCAATCTGATCATGCTGCAGATCCCGTCAGGCAAAGAGTGTGAAGTAGCAGGAATTAGAAACGGGCATTTTGCACTGTAGCCCCTGCCTCGTGGAATATTCTCCTCATGGAAATTAAAATGGCTCAACTATAGAAGCTGGCTGACTTGGCTGAATTCGAGGGTGGGGTCAAATGCATTATCAGTTTGGAGACACTACACACTGTAAGAGACCTAAGTCCAACCCCCTTGAAGTTCATTGACTCTTATCTGGTGTCAATTTGTCAACTGTTAGTAGGCCAGATTCTTGTGTATAGGTTGCATGGAATAAACTTGTAGTAGTTTTGAACTCTATTCTGGCTCCTGATTTCCTGTGTCTGACACCAACCCTGTTGGCTTTTTGTAAAGCTTTAAAAACTTGGCTACGTAACCAGGCCTGAAGCTCAGAATGTGTTAAGGGGGCCATTACTTGGCTTTATTCTTAGTTACTTAATCATTATGGCTGCTGTTTATACTTATTTGTTTTGTGGATGTTTTTAATGTTTTAATGTTATTAATTTTTAAATATAATTTTAGAACTGTAAGTCACTGACAGTCACTTAGCTGAGTTGGATGGCTACAGAAGTTGAATAAATGAATAAAATTAATATATAAGAAAACATTGTAAGGCAAAGAATTAGAAAAGATACAGTAAGCATTTATACTAGATTAGAGTTTCTGAATTTGTATATTTTGACTGGCAGTGGCTTTCCAGAACCTGAGGCATAAGATTTCACAGGCCTTGCATCTAATCTGTCTATCCATATGAAGGGATTTTATGCATGTAAAAACTCTATTCTCTATTTCTAGACTTCAAGTAAGCAATCTAGAATCTTGGTCATGTAATCTTGGTCATGTAATCTTAAGCATGCAAAGCACATTCATTTGGGCTATTTGGGAGCTGAGTAAAAAGAAAATGAAAGGAAGAAAATTTCAACATTTCATCAGTCACAGGTAGATTTATTCCCCCACCCCCAAAAAAGCTGAACACTAAAGTCAGTAACTGTGGGGGAGAATGGTAGCTAAATAAACTTCCTGGTGGATGGAACGTGCAGATGTTCCAACAATTATACCTCAGAAATGTCTTTGATAGCAGTAGCTACAAGCAGAGATCAGACAACTGAAGCAACCATTGATGAGACTAGGGGTGGGGAGGATTCCCATTCACTACATGCAGTAACTGCTTGGATGCAAGGGATTGCCTAGAACAGGGGTGTCAAACTGGATTTCTTCACGGGCTGGATCAGCATTGTAGATCTCTGTGGACGGTTGGGGGGGAGGTGGTGGAAGATGGCATAGACGCTTCCTGCAGCACCCTGCCGGCCAAAACAGGGCATGGGGGGCATCACAGCCCCCCCCCCTGCATCCCATTTTTGGCCTCCACGGCCTCCTGTAGCACTCTGCCAGCCAAAAACAGCCCATTTTGGCTGGCAGAGGCCTCATGGACTGGTCCTTTGATATTTTCGGGCCAGCCCTGCAGACCAAATCTAAGCACTCCGTGGGTTGCATCTGGCCCACGGGCCTTGAGTTTGACACCCCTGTCTTAGAAGAAAGTAAAATGTGGCAGACGTACCAGCAATGCTTGAGCCAGCCGAAGTTGAGAAACACTGTTTTCAATATGGAACAGAAAAACACAATTGAAAGATGTATGTATAGTGGGCTGGGAATGAACATTGCATGGCATCATATGTTCCTGCCTCCATAACTAGGTGGTGACCCAGGTCATTAAATATAATCTTTAACATTTGCTCATATACTAAATATCAACTGCTTTCCACGAATTATAATTGGTTGCAGAAGTATGGTAACAAGTTTTGAAAAATAATCTTACCATCTGATTAGTTGCATTCCAGTAACAAATAGTGATAGCAATTCAGTACTGGAAGAGACCTTTTAAGACAGCTTGTCCAGTACCTGCTTTACACAAGAGTCTCTTAGCATTCCCACTAGGTGACTATCCAGCTATATAAATAGAACAATAAACAAAGACAATAAACTTGTCTTTTGGTGAAAAAAACACGGTCTAGTTTTCTCTAATTCTTATCAATCTGTAGCAATATGCCCATTATCTTTTTGGTTTCCAGTACTGTTCTTCTCTTTTGACATTTCACTTAATTCTATTATTGTATCTGTGTACTTAATATTACTACCTTGCTTGATTTACACATGGAGTGCTTTCGTTAAACTGGAGATGGATACTGATGTCCAAATTAGGAGATTCATGGCTCAAACAGGATTTGTGGGAAATTGCTGGGAAGTAGTAGCATGTGCCTATCAAAATAGGAATGATTAATATATTTTGCTGTCAGAACCTCAGGCTCACTTACACAGTAATATTGTAAATAAACATGCAATAAATTGTACTGGGTCACCCCAGACATACTTACAGCTCACTTTGATTCATGGATCATGGAGGATGCTGTCTAATTGCTGGATCTGCATTTGATTTAAATTCATATAGTCATTAGAGTTTGATAAAGAGTTATTAAGGCCTAAGCTTGCCTGTTATGGAATGTTTTCTTATACAGGATTCTAAATCTTACTATAAACATGGTAAAAATTCAGAGGGCTGGCATACATTTGCTGATATGTTAGAGCAAAGCAAAAGCTTTGAATTCTGCAGAATACGCCCTAGGTATGCTTGCTTTCTGCTCCTCTATCACCTGCGCAAACTTTTACTCTGCAAAAGTCAGCCTGCTTGAGCTCTTGAGCACTGTCAAAGGGAGACATTGCCTAAAACTCCTGCAGCTTAAACTTGTCAAGTAGCAATGTTAGAGGCATTGAAAAAGGCAATGAAAAACAATTTATTGATTTTTTTTAAAAAAAAATTCAAATCAATTAATTTTTATTTTTTCCACCAGTATATTCCTGTCACATGAAGGAAGAAGATTCATAATAGCTGTCAAAATATACAAATGGAGTAATTAGGTATACATTTACCAAAAGGTCATCTTGTTTTGAATAGACTCTTGGACTTGAAAGGTTTCCTCAAAATTAATGCCCAAGAAACTGTAAAGAATAACAAAGCAAAGTTGCTAAAATTAATTTGCAAACTTCTAGATAATGTGTGGATATTCAGAGTAAACGATTATGACATAAAGTGAAATGCTCCACTTAAATAAAAATAGATCCAGGAAAAACAAAATAGATTGAGGCTGCAGTTTGTTTAGGCATTTATTCTATCAAAATAAACAAAGGCTTAAGAAGAAAAAGAACAACAATATTTTTCATAAACCCTCAGCATATTTCAAGTTTAGATAAGAAGAGAATGACTATTAACATTACATCAGTTTTGCAATGACAACTCTCACTTCATTAACAATCAGAAATGTTTTATGCTTGTCTGAAGGCAAGGCTAAGCTTTCTCTTCCACGCATTTCACATGGTTGTCCATCTCAACCTCAAGAATACGGCAAGCAATACTTAAAAATATCAGATAACAATATCACTATAAATACAAATTGGCATCCCTGTTAAAAAACTTAATGAGACAACTGTCTCAAGGGCTCTATCACATATTCTGACCCTCAGGCCTGGGAACATAACCAGCTCTTTAAAGCTCTGTCACCTCTACCAAGGTTGGGTGAAATCTAACCTCCAAGAGACAAGGAATTATAAATTAACGGTGTCCGCTACATATAAGGAAAGCAATATAAAATGTTTTATAGATGGCATATGCCACCTGAGAAATTAGCAAAAATGTTTACTTTTTTAAAAATATAGGGCTATAAAGAAAAATCAGCTAAATGTTGGAAGTGTCATCAACTACCAAGATCATATTATCATATGTGGTGGACATGTCCGGGAGCTAAAAACTATTGGATTAAATTTAAGACTTGGTTGGAGGAAATGATACATCAACGTATTGAATTTAAACTAGAGCTGTTCCTACTGGGCATTCTTCCTGAAAAAAATTAGCAAGGAAAACGTTTATCTGATAATTCATGTAATAACAGCTGCAAGGATTGTCTATGCACAAAATTGGAAAGCGGAGAAAATACCTTTGGAAGAAAAAGTAATTAAAAAAATCTGCACAAAAATTGTGCAGAAATCAATAGCTTAACTTTGATGATTAAAGACAGAGAAGACTCAGAATATTTTAAAATATGGAATGATTTTTATTATTGGTTGGAGAAGAGATATAAATGATTAATTATATAAGTATGTAAAAATATGTGATGAGTTGAATATTATGTTAGTGATGAATTGATATTGCGGACTGGATAAGGATCATGATAGAAATAATGACAACTATACAAAAAAAGAAAGAACTTTATAAGATAACACCAAGATGTCACAGGGAAGAGAAAACTGATGTATTAAATGTTTGTCTAAAAAAAAACTTTTTTTAAAAAAAGTTCTAAACAGTGGGTGCCATCATGATAGAAAATGCTCTGCTCCATGGTCCTGCTAGCGGGCGCTCTTTAATAGACAGAAATATTGCTTAATTCATTTTTACTTTTTTAAAAAATATAGGGCTATTATCTAAAGTTTCATTGAAATGCATTAATGGAGGCATTTTTTCTTTCATCTTTTGAAAGGGACATTTTCAGAATTCAGGGTTATATTCCTAAAGGGCAGAGAGTTTAATAGAGCGTTATGAAATCACTTTTTTAAAAAAAATCAGAGTACATCTGAGATCTGAAGACGTTTGAGATTTCTCATAGACTATCTCTACAACTGAATATTATGAGTTAGCCTGGGAGAAAGGATGACTTTTCTGGGCTTGTTTTTTTTTCCAGAGGAATAGGATTTAAGCAGGGAGGGGATAAGGTGCTGCCATGCCAAACTATTAGTCTTGTTCTTTGTGACATAAGAGCCTTCCTTTCAAATGACCAAACAATGAAGCCTTTGGATATACAAAGAGTTTGGTTTAAAGCCACTGAAGCCAAAAGGACAGCATGCATATGCCTAGACAAGTACACTAGGGAGAAAAAGGAAAAGAAAAAAAAGACAAAAGGCAACCTTGTGTAAGCTACTTTATAACAGTGAAAATCTTTCCATTATACCTTCAATTTCAGCAGCCCTTGTTACCAATCTCGATATAAATAATTTTGAATTATGTCAGTGCCAACACCTTTTCTACTATTTGAAAACATTTATAAATCTGAACCTTAAGGACAAAATATGGGATCTCCACTGGAATATCTTTCAGGTGTAAAATACAATAATAATTCCAAAACACTAATTTTGTTGCTCAGCTGGGATCTGATAAACAGCTCTGCAAAAAAATCCACTGAGTTAGACCATGAATATAATTTACGCATGTTGGAAAATGGGTTAAGTAAGAGGTGCTAGAAAAGCTATTTATTTTGGCACCAAAAATCTCCCGTAGATTCCAGTTACTTGTGCTTGCTTTAGTTCAGTTTTCTGTCTGCACATGATTTGTTCAATATTTAAACATTTTGGGCAATTCTTAAAAGAAACTGATCTCTATCTTACCACAAATCATTGGGGCAAAGAGATTCACGATACAATTTATTTCCTACTATCTCCTTTGTGCTTGACCACTTTTACAAGCCAGTCTTATCAGAGAGCCAAATTTAATAAGTTTCCCAATCTTTTAATTTCACAATGTTCATAAACAATTTTCTGGTGTGATTTATTCATATTTCTTAACTATAGTAGGTTGCATCTACTTTAAGCAATGTCCAACAAATGAAATGGCTGTTCCCCAGTTCCATAGCATACTAAATAGTACATGGAAGCCAAGATTTCCTGGAAGACCTTGGGAAAAATCACTCAAGGAAAAAAAAATCCACAATTTAAGAGAACATTATGTCAATAAGATTAATTGGACGATGTGTTGAGTGAGAATGAAGCACATCGATAGGATTTACTGCTAGGAATGAGCCCCCTAAGTGTCACATTTGCAGCTTCCAAATTGCCAGAAGATACTTAATACGATATGAAAATTGTATGTTAGAATGAAACCATTTAAAGTAGATAACCACTATCAACATGAAAGTGAACTCTCTTCTTTTGCCCACTGAAGTTTAAATTGTGTGGGTTTTTTTTTTCTTTTTCACCATTCCAACAGTTTAACAGAAATAGCTTTTATTTTTCAGGCTTAGTGCTAGATGATGATTATTGACATAAACTGGCCTTTCTAGTCCTGAGAAACTTAGAAATTTTGAAATGTATTTCCTACATTAGGATTATTCCTTTCATTTAATTGTTTTGTAACCCTACCCAATGATTGTTACCCAAACAGTTTTTAAAAGCTTGGGATTTCCCCAAATCCACTGATATGTCCTTCTAATGCATAAATTCCAATATTTTCACTATGTAACCATATGGTAATAGCCACTAAAGAAACTGATTTTGCATATGTCTTACATATAATTTTGAATATTTCTACTTTATTTTGACATGTAATATTGAGATTATTGACTTTTAGTTCTTTTGTCTATAATCATACTCTGCATTTTTTAAAAAAAAATGGATTAGATACTATATCATATTAGATTATAATGCTTTATTAATATTAACCTTTTCAGGTCCAGTCAGTATGAACAATTGGATTCAAGACTACTTTTGTGCACTAATATGAAGAAAATCAGCCAAATATTCCTGTTCTTGAAGATTAAATCTATATACAATAGTACTAAAACTCATCCCAGCCCCCCATTAGCCAACTCTACCAAATGGTGCATTATACCAGAACAATTTTTAAATCAACGTACCTCAAATCTGCTAACTTAAAGAATGCATAAAAAATCTGGCATCCATTACTCCTGTGGAATTGAAATTTCCACTATGTCCAGACCCCTTTTATCTGCAAAGTTTTAGCTGTTGTAGCAGGTGAGAAAGAAAAACGGGCCTTCCCCACCCCCTCAGGGCCTCCGGAGGCAGGAAACGGCCTTTTCCCCTACTTCTGGTGGAGAAGGCCTGAAAATCAGCTGGCCAGTGCGCGCATGTGTGCCGATTGATATGGCTACGCGTGCCATAGGTTCGCCATCATGGCTATAGGCTGTAAAAAAAAACCTATACCTACAGCATATGAGAAGTCAATGCATAAAGAATGCCTTTCGAAAATTAGGTGTTTGTAAGTCAGTTACCTTATGACTTTGCATGACTTTTCATAAACACATCTAATAAAAAAGGAAACAATCTTTTGGGAGATGTGTGGCCTCATATAATTTGGGGGTGGGGAGGGTGGATGACCACTGTGACTTGTGTAACAATGCAAACTGGCTATGGTATGATCTTAAGGCATGTTAGGAGTCCTCCCTCCTCGTTAAGGGGGTTAAAAGCAATGTTTTTGTTTGGTTTTGAAAATGCATATTTTAGGCTATCCTTTCATGTAACACAAAGAAAGGTGGTTAGTAACTGCCTTGAATGTGGTCTATATATTTTAGAGTAGAGAAAACTGACCTTTAGATTTTCGTTAACAATTAAATATAAGCAGTAAAATTCATTAGTTCAGTCAACATTTCTTGCATATTACAAAACATGGCCAAAGCATGAAACGTGTCCACAATGGCAAGTACCCAGGAAAGGAAACACTGAGGCTGTATTTTCAACTGCCGCATCCCTATGTCAGACCAAGTGCTGAGTGATCACATTAATCATAGCAGTCAGAGTCATGGCGTGACATTTCCTTTTGGCAAAAGAGAAATGACTTCATGTGAAATAACAGTTTCTCACATGAGTGTTTTCAATTCAAACCAAGGAATAAGAGACAAGGGCTAACCGGAGTCCTCGGATCCAGGGTCTGGGTGGCAGGCTAGAAGTCAGTCCAAAGAATCAGTTCCCTTTTGAGGTGAAGAAAACCAGAATCCAGTTTAACAGATAGGTTCAAATTTATCAGGTGCAGGATAACAGTTATCCTTTCATTTTGTAATCCCACAGTCATATTTATGGAACTTCAATGGGAGAATCCCATGAAACCATTCAGATTAAATAATCAAATATCTGAGGAAATACCCTTCTAAAACTATCGTCTTAATTATTTTCTGTTTTATAGAATTCCAAATGAATTCATTATCCTTGTGCATTCCTCTCAA